CCTCCTTTTTTTTCTTTTCTTTTTTTTTTTTTTGAGTCTGGCTCTTACTCTGTCCCCAGGCTGGAGTTCAGTGGCACAATCATAGCTCACTGCAGCCTTGATATCTTGGGCTCTGGCAATCCATCTGCCTGAGTAGCTGGGGCTACAGGCTGGTGCCCCAACATCTGGCTATTTATTTTTATTTTTTGTGGAGACAAGATCTTGCTATGTTGCCCAGGCTGGTCTCGAATTTCCAGGCTCAAACAGTCCTCTCGCCTTTGCCTTCCAAAGGCTGCGATTACAGGCATGAGCCCTCACACCTGGCCTAGAAGTTACTATTAGAGAATGCCATGAGTGACTTGCTTTGACAGTGTTTATAAAATTAGTGTCTTTTGGCCGAACACAGTGGCTCAAGCCTATATTCTCAGCATTTTGGGAGGCCAAGGTGAGAGAATTGCCTGCGCCCAGGGGTTCATGACCAGCTTGGGCAACTTGGTGAGACCTCATCTCTGTAATAAGTCAAAAAATTAACTGGGTGTGGTGGCACGTGCCTGCGGTTCCAGCTGCTTGGAAGGCTGAGGCAGAAGACTTACCAGAGCCCAGCAGATCGAAGCTGCAGTGCCTATGAGCGTGCCACTGCACTCCAACCTGGGTGATAGAGTGAGACTCCAACTCAAAAAAAAAATAGCGTCTTTTGTTTAAAGAACAAATGGTAAACTTATAAAACTAAGGGAAATGTGTTTTTAGCACATTCACAATTGGCAGATTTTTCACTATCCTAATACTGAGAGCAGATAAAAATTTTAAAAATCTGAAGCTGGTGCTGCAAATTTCTGTCATTAAGCACAAGTGAAATGGTCTTTTTTAAGTTGTCACCTTTTTCAAAACACAGCTGAAAGTTGCAGACATATCCAGTATTTGCCTCAGAAACCACTCTGACTAGCATTCCATACTTTGTATTTTATTTGGATTATACACTGAATATATATGTATTGCTTCAGTTACATTGCATGATCACATCACTGTCTGTCTCACTATCACTAATAAGTTTACTGGATTCACCTGCGACCTCAAAATCTCATCAGCATATATTTCTTCACTTTCCATAATTATGGCAAGTTATTTTTCTCTTTGAAATGTGAAAGCCCTGAAAGACCAAAATCCAAGTATACAACACTAATCACAACAAAAAATGACCAACTTAAAATTTTACCAGCTACATAAATCAGCAACAGCATTGCACAGTCAACAGCAGGTAATTGTCTCAATTAACTTTCTCTTTGCCTCACTGTTCATTTTGATGTTTTTATGGATTAAGTAATATTATTTAGCCGGGTGGGTGGCTTACATCTGTCATGCCAGCTCTTTGGGAGGCAGAAGCGAGAGGATTGCCTGAGCCCAGGGCTTCAAGAGCAGCCTAGGCAACTTGGCGAGACCTTGTCTCTACAATAAATTTTTTAAAAAATTAGCCAGGTGGTGGCACATGCCTATGGTTCCAACTACTTGGAAGGCTGAGGCAGAAGGATCACCTGAGCCCTGCAGGTCAAGGCTGCGGTGTGGCCATGAGCGTGCCACTGCACTCCAGCCTGGGCGACAGAGTAAGACTCTGACCACCCCCAAAAAAATTGTATATTTATATCCTAATATAAACTTTATAACATGATTTTTCATACCATTAAATGTCTTCATAAAAATACTTGTTGGCTGGCAGTGGCTGAAGCCTGTAATCCCAACACTTTGGGAGGCAGAGGAGAGAGGATTGCCTGAGCCCGGGGGTTCCAGACAAGCCTGAGCAATATGGCAAGACCTTGTGTCTAATAAAAAAAAAAAAATTAGCCAGGCGTGGTGGCACACACCTTCCGGCTACTTGGAATGCTGAGGCAGAAGGGTCTCCTGAGCCCAGCAGGTGGAGGCTGTGGTGGCCGTGAGCGTGCCACTGCACTCCAGCCTGGGCGATAGAGTGAGACTCCGACTCAAAAAGAAAAAACTTAACTGATGTAATGTATTCATTCCCCTGCTGTTGAGGATGTTTTAAACTTTTCATTTTTATAAACACTGCTGAGTGTTCATCCTCATGCAGATAACTGTCTGCTTTTTGGATTGTTTCTTTAGCTCAGAATTCCAAAAGTGTAATTCCAGGTCACAGAATATTTTCAAGACTTTTTGAGTAATATACTATTGTTGTTTTTTGTTTTGTTTGAGTTGGAGTCTCACTCAGTCACCCAGACTGAAGTGTAGTGGCCGCTCCCGGCCACTGCAGCTTTGATCTGCTGGGCTCCAGCGATCCTTTCGCCTCAGCCTTCCGAGTAGCTGGAACTACAGGCATGCACTACCACGCCCGGCTAAGAGTAATATACTATTAAATTACTTTATGAGAAAAGTTATTGTATTAGGTTATGTATTCATTCAGCAGTTTTACTCCTTTTTCTTTGGGGGGGGCAACGAGTTGTCAGTAAATTGGAAATCTAAATTAGAAGCTGTGTTTACAGACCAACATATAATAATTTGATTTTAGTGCTAGCAGGACACTACTTAGTGTACCCTTGGTTATAAATGCATTTACATCTAACACCTTAGTTACACACTTGAGGGTATTCTGTGAAGCCTTTTTTTTTTTTTTGAGTTAGTGTCTCACTTTGCCCAGGCTGGAGTGCAGTGGTACACTCACGGCTACTCCAGCGTCGACCTGCTGGGCCCTGGCGATCCTTCCGCCTCAGCTTTCCAAGTAGATGGAACTGTAAGCGCACACTACCACTCCTGGTTGATTTTTTATTTATTGTAGAGAGGAGGTCTTGCCTTGTTGCCTGAGCTGGTCTCGAACCCACAAGCTCAGGCAATCCACTCGCCTCAGCCTCTCAAAGTGCTGGGATTACAGGCTGAGCCAACTCGCATGGCCTCTGGGATGCCTTTTAAAGGAGGACAGGAAGCTTTTCTAGCCCCGCCCTCCTGTTTGTTTATGCTGCTGGTTTTGGATGGGAGCCTTTGTGGGTGTCATGTTCAGGGCACCTGCCTCCGCATAGCTCTCCTCCCGGCTGTTGCCAGTGCTGCCCCTCTGGAGCCTCTCCCCTCGATACGTCTCCTTCCTGCTCATCTTTTGGGGCTCAGTCATCTGTGCCTCAGGGAGGCGCTCCCTGTCTGCCGGTCCAGGTTGGGCCCGGCACCTGCACCTGCTCCCAGAATGTTCCTCACGCCTTGTTTAATCCCTGATACAGTCTGCCTTTCCTCCTGCCCCTCATGCTCCTTGGCAACAGGCATCCTTTCTGTCTTTCCACAGCACAAAGTCTGGGCACTATGTAATGAATGAGTGAAAGCCTGAGTTAGTAGAACATGAATTGACAAGATCTGTATTTACTCACCTGATGGAATCTTTTTGGTTTGGTTTAAATCTTGGTTCTTTTGTCTTTGTTCCAGGGCAGAAATAATATGTTTCACACATTGTTAATGTTTCTCTACATCATAAAGACAAAAGAGTCAGGAATGCTTGGGTAGGTATTTGTGCTTTAAGAATTTAAGAGGTTAACATATTTACTGATGTTCTCCCTGTTAAGCTTCTGCAGGAGGCAGCAGCGTTGACTTCTGAGAAGATCGTAGGCTGGACAGTAATAGGTTCAGCTTCTAGTGTGAGCTCAGTCTGCCACTAACCGGCCCTGCTGTCTTGGCATTAACTCCTCAGAGCCCCATGGTGAAAGGCAGGTGGACGCACCATCGGCCCTGCAGGAACAGCTCGAGACAGATATAAAAATCAGGCTCTTGACACTTAAAAAGTTTTTATTTTATTTACTTATTTGATGTTTTACTTTTTGAGTTGGAGTCTCACTCTGTCGCCCAGACTGGAGTGCAGTGGCCGCTCCCGGCCACCGCAGCCTCGACTTGCTGGCTCCGGCGATCCTTCCGCCTCAGCCTTCCAAGTAGCCGGAACTACAGGCGCACGCTACCACAGCCGGCTAATTTTTTTTTTATTTATTTTTGTAGAGATGAGGTCTCACCAAGTTGCCCAGGCGGATCTCGAACCCACAGGCTCAGGCAATCCACTCACCTCAGCCTCCCAAGGTGTGGGATTACAGGCTGAGCCATCGAGCCCAGCTAAAAAATTTTTTTTTAAATGGAGTTTTTTTTTTTTCCCCAAGCCATTCCACATCAGGCACAAATCATTCTGCACAATGTTTCCACTTCCAGAGAGACTGAGTTGGCCCCATTCTATAATATTGTTAACTGGGAGGGAAAATAGTCTGAATCACTCATGTATTTAGTAACGAAGCTCACGTGTTGCAGCAAACTCAGAATTGTGTTGTCATTTTGATGGTTAGAAATGTTAGTGTCTCCAATCACATTTGAAATAAGCAGTCCCCGTCTAAAGCTGGGAGACCCCTCACACCTGGTCTGGGAGCCTGAAGGCCAGGGCCCCGGGCCCAGCTCTGTTCTGTTGAGTAGCCTGAGGCTGACGGAGAGCAGGGGCAGGCTTGGCGCAGGCCCCATGGTCAGCTCTGCTGCCGACCTGTGTGCCTCTTTCCGGTCTGGGTGGGTGTCCTGTGAGGAACTTAGAGTTGATCTGCGTCCTTGGACTGTGCTGCCCCGCACAGGAGCCACCAGCCACATGTGGCCTTGAGCACTTGACACATGGCTGGTCCACACGGAGATTTATTTATTTAAAAAGTTTTTTTTGAAGGGATGTGTCTTGCTCTCTCACCCAGACTGGAGGGCAGTGGCGTGATCATGGCTCACTGCAGCCTCAAATTCCTGGGTTCAAGCAATCCTCTCACCTTAGTCTTGGTGTAGCCAGGACTATAGGCGTACCACCATGTCCAGGTAATTATTGTTTTTGTTTTGTTTAGAGACAGGGACTCAGTATTTTGCCCAGGCAGGACTTGAACTCCTGGGCTCAAATGATCCTCCCATGTTGCGTCTCAAAGTACTAAGATTGTAGGTGTGAGTCACTGTGCCTAGCCTGATTTTTAATCTATTTTCTTTCTTTCTTTCTTTTTATTTATTTTTCTTTGAGTCAGAGTCTTACTCTCGCCCAGGCTGGCTGGAGTGCAGTGGCACACTCACAGCCACCACAGCCTCAGCTGTTGGGTCCAGGTGATTCTTCCGCCTCAGCCTTCCAAGTAGCTGGAATCACAGGTGTGTGCCACCACACACAGCTGATTTTTAAAAATTTATTGGTGAGATGAGATCCCACCAAGTTGCCCAGACTGGTCTTGAGCTCCTAAGCTCAGGCAATCCTCTTGCCTCCTCCTCCCAAAGTGCTGGGATTACAGGTGTGAGCCACCACACCCAGCCCAGAATTGACATAATTTTTGGAGTGCTTATCTGCCCTTAATGAGCAACTTGTATATGGAAAACTAAGCAATTTGGACTAAAACTAATCATGTGTTTTATTTATTTGTGTTTTTTTCAGCCCAAGGGGGAAAATTTTGAAATTATTAAGCTTATCAGTGACTAATGAGTCTTTTTAATACTTTCTAAAATAATCAGGGTAATTAAATCTACAATTTTGTAACCTAAAGGAAACGGGTGGCTCAGACCTAGTCCATTTGGAATCATGCCAGTGAAGCCACAGATAGATCTAAATACATTATCAGTGTAACGCCAGATATCTGTCATGGAATCAGGCACATGTCTTGCTTCCAAAAGGAAAAGGAGTTCTAGACGGAATTGACTGCATGTGGCTTAAGGCTCTATTAAGCAACAGACAACACAGAGTTTAAAGCTAAATGACACTGAGACAGCGTGTAGACTGCAGCACATGTAGCACACCCTGACTGATGTGTGTCATATATAAAGAGCACATGTAAATATATTAGAAGAGAAAATACAGAAAAATAGGCAAAGCCATGAAGGATTTCCACAGAAGAGTATACACACAGCTGATAAACATGAAGTGATGCTGAGCTTGCGTACGGAGTAAAAGTCAACATTCTTCTCTGTGCAGTTAGGTTTATCACTTCCAGCGCTGAGGGGGTGAGGAAATGGCGGGCACAGTTGGAAGAGAGTCCCCGTGCTAGAGGGCGTTTTTGGTCACACAGCTGTGTTTTCCATTTTTGTCAGTGAGTGCATTCTTTTAGTTTTAAAGGTCTTACAGGGCTTGAAGCTCATAACAGACACGAACAGGTCCCTGGGGCCCCCAAGCCGTGTCCCAGAAGCTGTCCTGGGAACTCAGGTTGCTTTTCCTTCTGGCCTGACTCTCACGGTTCCCAAGGACAGGCCTGCAGCATGCTGACCCTTCTGCCGTGGGCGCTGCCTGCTGGCGTTGACTTTGCTGGACGCACGATTCTCTCGCTCATTCCTCTCCTTCCTTCGCACTCTGAACCCAGTCCTGTGACCCGAGAGAAGTCTGTTCTGTTGCACGCAAGAGGGTGTTGTTGCAGACATACTAAGGAAAAGCATCTCTAACAATGAGTGGATTTCAGTTGCATGTTTCGGTGCCTAAGAGGCCTGGCATCTCTGCGTCCTTTTTAAAAATTGAATGGACGCTTTTACTTTAATGTTACTTGCTAAAATTCATGTTAGCTTTCTCTATTACCTGGTGAATTGTTCTTGAAGTTTGCTGAAAAATTAATTTTCAGTACTCCATAAATCTATTCATTCTAAATTTCGGTTCTACACACAGTTTAAAAAGTAATTTCTGTTATTACAATTTACCTGATAAAGCATGTGTCACACAATTCATTGAAGAGTCATATTAACTCTCATTAATTATACATGTTTGACTTCCAAGATTCTTGTTTGGGGTATTAAAAAAGACCTTACATGCTTGGCAAGCAATTGTAATGCAACTTTTTTTTCTCTTTATAGGAGAGTTAATCTTGGTTTATCTGGTGTGAATATTTTGTGGATTTTTGGCGAGTAGGGGGTTCCTTTGATTCCAGTCATTTGGACTTTGCTTTCACGGAACCAGAAGTTGTTGAATCCAAGCTTCTCTGCCTCTTAAGAAAGCAGATGCTCGTGGGTGTGTGTACAGACACTTTAGGGCTAACAGAACATCAGCCACCGCCAAACACCCTTGTGAAACACGGCCTGTGTCTTCTGCATCCAGAGCCATTACCTGGAATTTTACGTTGTGTTCAGGAATTTCAGTTGACACAGACTGCACCCTTCAGACTTTGATCGACCCAGAGCAGTGCTGTTTCCCCGGAAATAAACTCGAGTCCTTTTTTGACTATAACCTCCAAATGAGAATCATTCGCCTAGTTCTTCCATCACCACATGTTTTTCAGCCATAGTACTTGGTAGTTTTTGTACTGAAGAAAACAGAGCATTGAATTTTTTGTCGCTCTGTCACTACAGGCTTCTGCAAGTCAGCCCAAAGCCCACGTTCAAAAAGCAAGCTGAGCTCCTGAGTAAGACATGAAGTTTGTGTGTGTGTTAAAATGTTGCGGGAAAGGGCGTGGCAGCACTGGTGTTGAGAAGGCACCTCTGGGATTAAATTCAGCGGGTGGGATTGGTTCTGTTTAGGTTTTAGCTAGTCAGTTTGAGGAGTCCGTGGTGTGTTGTTTTGAGAGTTCCCTTCTAGATCATAGTGATTTCCTGTGTACGTTATTTAGACGCGTTCGGGTATTTAGAGGGCGAGAAGATACCAGGTTTAAAGTTTGTCTGACTCTCCATCTGTGTGGTGGTTAGCAGTTGTGTGTATGTTCGTGACTGCCATATTAGAGTGTGCTTCCATCGCCTGAGTAAAGCTGGCAGCGGCTAACACTGCTGTCTTCTGAATGCCTGCCTGTCAATATTTACATAGGCGTCTCATTTGGTGTAATTTGTAAGTTCTGTTTTTCAGAGGTTGTTCCTATTTTTATTTTTTACTTTTTTTATTTTTTACTTTTTTTTGAGTTGGAGTCTCACTCTGTCGCCCAGACGGGAGTTGCAGTGGCCGCTCCCGGCCACCGCAGCCTCGACCTGCTGGGCTCCGGCAGTCCTTCCGCCTCAGCCTTCCAAGTAGCTGGAACTACAGGTGCGCACTACCACACCCGGCTCATTTTTTATTTTATTGTAGAGATGAGGTCTCGCCAAGTTGCCCTGGCGGGTCTCGAACCCACAGGCTCAGGCAGTCCACTCACCTCAACCTCCCAAGGCACAGGATTACAGGCTGAGCCACTGAGCCCGCTTGTTCCTATTTTTAAAAGTCGATCTCCATAGATTGCCTGAGCCCACAGGTTTGAGACCCACCTGGCAAGACCTCATCTCTACAATAAATCAAAAAATTAGGTGGGCGTGGTAGCGCGCACCTGTAGTTCCGGCTACTTGGAAGGCTGAGGCGGAAGGATCGCTGGAGCCCAGCAGGTCGAGGCTGCGGTGGCCAGGAGCGGCCACTGCGCTCCAGTCTGGGCGACGGGGTGAGACTCCAACTCAAAAAAAAAAAAAAAAAAAGTCGATCTCCAAAGAAGAGGAACTTTCTATCTTTTAATTGCTTTTGTGTATCTTAAGTATATTTTCTGGGCTGGGCTTAGTGACTCACCCTATAATTCCAGCACTTCGGGAGGCGGAGGCGAGTGGATTGCCTCAGCCCACAGATTTGAGACCAACCCCGGCAATTTGGCAAGACCTCATCTCTACAATAAATCAAAAAAACTAGCCAGGCGTGGTAGCATGCACCTGTAGTCCCAGCTACTTGGAAGGCTGAGGCGGAAGGATGGCAGAGACCAGTGAGTCGACACTGGGGTAGCCATGAATGTGCCACTGCACTCCAGCCTGGGTGACAGAGTAAGACTCCAACTCAAAAAATATATATATATATTTGCTATGATATTTTAGAAGAAAATATCAACTACATGTGTTGAATATAAGAACTTGAAAAAAAAGAGAAAATTAACTCTGGGATTTAAAAAAACCTGTTAAAATTTAAATCTGCTATTTTAAAAGTTTTTGAAGATGTCATGGAATAACATTTGCTAAGCTGTTAAACTGTACATTGACACATACTTTATTAAAAGCACTATGGAGTAAATTTTAACAAAATACATAATATGAGAGGTCTTTTTTTCTTTATAGGACTTAAGATAGTTTTCGTCCAGAAATTCACAGCTGTGATACCTTCTTTTTTAAGTGACTATCAAAAAATATAAAATACAATAAATATATATATATATTTAAGACAAGGGATACACACTCCAAAAGAAAAGATACTTTGTTGCATACTGAGTTAGTGTAGGTTACTGTACTCTGGAAAGCTCTACTGTATGAACTTCCCAAATATTTGAGCTAGTTTATACTTAAATGTAGGCAGATTTATTAAACATACTTGGAGGCCAGGCTTGGTGGCTCAACCTGTAATACTAGTAATTTTGGGAGTCCACAGGTTCGAGACCAGCCTGGGCAACTTAGTGAGACCTCATCTCTACGATAAATCAAAAATTAGCCAGCTGTGGCAGCATGCGCCTGTAGTTCCAGCTACTTGGAAGGCGGAGGCGGAAGGATCGCCGGAGCCCCGCAGCTTCATGCCAGGGTGGCCGTGAGTGTGCTGCTGCACTCCAGCCTGGGCCACAGAGTGAGAATCCAACTCAAAAAAAATGGTGAAGGGGCTTAAAGTCACCCTTCAGAAAGATGGCACCGCAGACAAGGCACATGCTTTGGTCCTTGTGTTAAAGTGACTGGACGTCCACGGGCATCTTAGGTCAGGGGTTACCTCTGCCGAGCTTTCCTTTCCATCGCTGGGCCTCTTGTGACGTCAGATCCAGAGGTCATCTTCAGTTCACGGTCCCTGTGTCATCTGTCCTTCCTTCCTCTGTCAAGATCAGCGTTTCCTTGGGCCAGAGTTCTTTCCAAGGCCACCTCAGGCGTTTGCCATTTAGTTCCTAGGGAAAATCCCTGGGGCATTCTCACACGCTCTACACTTTCGCAGATGCTGACACGACAGGCCGTGTCGGGCGGCGCTTGCCGACGTCCCCTGCGCTTCTCAGAAGTCAGTCCTGTTCCTCCCGGGCACTGACTGAGCTTTTCCTTAGCGATCTCGTTCCTTCCACAATGCCCCATCCCGAGTTCCCTGCCAGGCCTTGAGCGACGGGGCGTCTCCTCCCACAGGCGCTGCCCCAGAATTTGCTCCCTCCCCCGCACTGGAGTGACATGTCTGCCCGTGACCTCCTCCCCCCTGGTCTCCTGTCCGTGGCCACCGGCCTGCACTCCTAGGCCTAGTGTCATCTGAGATTCCTCAAGCTCCAAGGGTCCCCAGTCCAGTCAGATGGCAGACCCCGGCCCCTCTCTCCTGACAGCGCCTCACGGCTGTCCCTGTCCCCTTCCACCCTGCCCGTCTGTGCCCTCATGATCTGCCAGACCATGCCAGCAGCCTGATCAATCTCTCAGCCTTGAGATGGGAGGATTGCCTGAGCCCAGATGTTCGAGACCAACCTGGGCAACATGGCGAAACCTCGTCTCTACAACAAATGAAAAAAATCACCTGGGCGTGGTGGCGCACACCTGTAGTCCCAGCTACTTGGAAGGCTGAGGCGGAAGGATCGCCGGAGCCCAGCAGGTCGAGGCTGCGGTGGCCGGGAGCGGCCACTGCACTCCAGTCTGGGCGACCGAGTGAGACTCCAACTCAAAAAAAAAAAGATGGGGGAACGGGACAGACATGAAGACAAGTCACAGTTGTGTCTACCGTGATGACAGTCACGTGGAGCTCCGCACACGTCTTGCCAGGGACTGCAAGACGGTACCCAAAAGTGTGTTCCCCGTCGAGGGCGATACAGAGGACTGTCTTTCTATTTTCTATTTCTTTTTACGTACCTTTCAATGTTCTGCAGTCAGAAAGGTCCAGAGGGCTCCCACGGGGCTCACGCCTACAATCCAGCACTTGGGGAGGCCGAGGCAACAGGCTCACTGGAAACCAGAAGTTCGAGACCAGCCTGTGCAACGTAGACCCCGTCTCTGGAAAATCAATTCAAAGTCAAAAAACATGTATAGAAAGATCTCTGCTCCAGTAACTCTTCGAGCCCTTTCCTGCTGCCCTAAAATGCCCCCTGCCACCCTCCGCTCCGTGTCTTCATCGCACAAACCCGAGACTCTGCTCAGTACCCGCCCCCCACACCTCTTTGGAGCCGGGACGCTGAAGAGCCAGGCACTGAGGCCCGCCACGGGCCGGGCCAGGCCACTCTGAAACTCCACCCGGAACTGCACAAGAGCGTGTTTGCCTGACCCCCTTAGTCAGGGGCGGGAAACGTTCCTGCTAAGTTGCAGATCTCCTCAGCTACACAACATAGAGGGAAAGACGCACTCCGGCCAGCTGTTTCTTTCTCTCAGGGTCTCACTCTGTCACCCGGGCTAGAGTACAGTGGCACCATCGTGACCCATCACAGCCTCAACCTCCTGGGCTCAGGCAATCCTCCCAACTCAGCTTCCCAAATAGCTGGGACTACAGGCGTGTACCACCATGCCTGGCTAATTTTTAAATTTTTTAATTTATTTTTTAAGTTGGAGTCTCACGCTGTCGCCCAGACTGGAGTGCAGTGGCCGCTCCCGGCCACCGCAGCCTCGACCTGCTGGGCTCCAGCGATCCTTCCGCCTCAGCCTTCCGAGTAGCCGGAATTACAGGTGCGCGCTACCGCACCTGGCTAATTTTTTGATTTATTGTAGAGATGAGGTCTTGCCAAGTTTCCCAGGCGGGTCTCGAACCCCCGGGCTCCCAAAGCGCTGTGCCACCGAGCCCGGCTAATTTTTAAATTTTTTTTGTAGAGACCGGGTCTCATTCTGTTGCGTAGGCAGGTCTCGAACTCCTGGACTCACGCAATCCTCCCTCCTCGGACTCCTGAGAAGCTGAGACTACAGGTGTGCACAATGCCCTCTGCCCAGGATTCTGGCTTCTAAGGAGTCGGCAGCTGTGTGGGAAGCAGAAGCTGCCAGGGCCCCATATCCCCTTCACGCCCTGGTGGCCCTGGCAGCACTGGGAGAGCCCTGGGCGGAGGACAAAGCCTGGAAGGCCTGGCAGAGGGGCGGGAAGGAGGCTGTCCCTGCCTTCGTCTGAAAAGCTGCAGGCCCACCTGGGAAGCTCAGGGGCGGTGGCCACACTATAGCTGGCCTGGCCCCCGGGATGTCTGGGCAGATGGCCCTGTGTCCTGTGCACAGGAGTCACGACTGCCTCTGCCCCCTCGTGGGGACTCAGAGCTGGGGGCCAGAACCCTCCCCCGGTGCAACCGCACCCCTGCTGGCCAGCCAGGACTGTTGTGGCCTCTGG